TTCGCTCACATAGGAGGATAAATGTGGGTGCCACTCACGACTCGATTTGGGTCGTGACAAATTCCTTCTAAGCCTAATAGGAGTATTCTGATATCGTTTCGAGAGTCTATACCATAGAATCTACCCTTGTCTGTCTCCCTATCACTTTTTCTTTCCAAATCAGGGTAAAATGATCATGTGTCAATTGGACTGAACTATTTAGATTCTAGAGACGTAGTGCCGAAAGTCATTCTGCATGTTAAATATAAAAACTAACATCAATATCAATGTACATATAAGCAATATATTAACAATTTATATATATTATTCATATAAAATCACATACAAAAGTTCGCTCGGCTCTTTCCTCCATCCACACATCCAGATCTGACTCATTTTCTTTCTTCCTAACATGAGTCTTCTTGAAAACCTCCGATTCAATTAGAGTGTGTCCCAATTCTTTTCCCTATAAATAAAAATTGAAATTTGTAAAAATTTATATGAATCAACTAAATATTGATTTAAAAGTTTGAATTAGAACTTATACTATCTCTCTTGCAATTGTTCCAACGGATTTTGCACCTTTGGTATGCAATTAGCCACCCTTAAAACTGTCTCTAGCATTTTTTTCTTGTTTTGATATTGCCTTATACTTTTCTGTTTTCGAATACAAGCTTATTTCATTGAAAAAATGAGGCAACATCCAATGTGGACGTTCATCGTTATCTTGAATTTTCTTTAGTCGAGCAGACAGTCTGGAAGACGCTTTCCTCTCAAATATGGTCAAAATGATATGATTGTGCCTCGACTTCAAAGTAAACACAATCTAAATAAAAATAATTGAATAATGTTTATAGTAAAATAAATTAAATTATACAAAATTTAACTAAATTTATAACCTAAAGTTATTACACATCATCTGGCATATAGTGTTTGAGATCTGGCTTCAAGAGTTATAAGTCTGTGTAAAGAGTCTTCTAACACAGTCTTTAAAGCCCGGACAACATTCTTTGCTAGATGTCACCTGAAAAAAAACATATTAAAAATGTTAGTACATGAAAAAATATAAGATTAAAGTATAAAAAATAAATAAAATAGACTAACAAATAGATAACTAAAACAAAATTAAAATGTTCCATCCGATTGAATCATGACTCTACCAATTTTGTCTTTCTAGCAAGGAACTACAGGAGACATCTCATCTGGAGTAGCAGTAGCTGTACGTGTAGTTGAGGGTGATACCTTAGGATGCATATTACACTAATTTAATGGTGGTGTACCAGCCATAGCATCTGACTGTTGCTCACTACTAGAATCTCTAATCCTCATGGCCGATAAGCGAGGAGATGTACCTATGGAAGATGGAGTACCTACCGATAAGGGTGGTCCTCAACGAATAGAATGTAAAGGTAGGTCCTCATAGAGTATGGAAGGCAATGCATGTGAGGAAGATGAAGAACAGAATGGTCGACGATAATTAGGATAATATTGCCAAGGATCCTCCATACCAAATGGAACAACAAGCATAAGATTATCATGGCTAATGCGCTCTGGCGCAAAAGAAATAGATCCTGTTATATCCTCAGGATCTATGGTTCTTCTGGACTTCATTTTTTGGCTTGGTTAGTCTGACTATCTCTAAGATGCTCGCGATGTCTATCATCGTCACTTCCTAATGACATCTCTATATGCAAATTTACATGTATAATATATATATATAGAAAAATCATAAAGTCAATAAAAGTAGCAAAAGTATAGTTACTTACATATATATACTAGCTAGGTTTCATTCTACACTGTTCCTCCTCGCTTGGTTAAATTCCATAATTCTCCCATTCTTCCTCCTCAATTGTTTCATTTACATCATCGTCCCATTCTTTGTCATCAAATGATTATTTTCCTCATTCTCAGATATTTCTTCCTCAACATTTTGTATCTCATCATCAGATACTTCTTCTAATATATGTTCAACATGTTGTAGTGTGGTTTCCAATTCAACACCAACTTTTTGTAGAACTGTTGCAACATCATTTTGATACACCACATCTAAGACATTGTCAATTTCAATTTTTCCCACATACTTACTTTTTATATTAACTAACCAATTATCTTTGTCTCCATGCAATGGATATGGATTGTAATTCACTTGTTTAGCATTTTGTTAAATTATAAAAGGATCATAACTTTTCCGTTTCTTGGTATACTTAACTTAAATTATATTATGTTGATGTCCACCTTTGTGCTTCTATGTGACGGGTCAAACCACTCACACCGAAAGAATCTTCTTCTTCTTCTTAGGTCAACCTAAATATCTCACTTCAATAATCTCTTGAATGATACGATAGTATTCAATAGTTTGCCCAATACCATCAACATCACCTTGTATGTAGACATTGGTATTATTTGTTTTCTTGTTCCTAGAAAGTTCTTCAGTTTGAAACTTAAACCCATTGATGCAATTTCTTATTTATTGTGTGTAATGACCCGTTAGGTCGTTTTGTGTATTAGAATTTTTTATGTTTAAAAAAAACTCTTTCGATAGATTTTAAAAGGATATTTTGCTATATGTAACTACAATAATGATGTGAGTGGGATAGCTTTAAATGATTTATATTATTAATTGATGGTGAATGGGTTAAGTCCATATATAATATAAGCTAATTTAATCACTTTTAATACCTAATTATTAAGTGAAGAAAAGGAAAGGAAAAGAAAGATATAAAGAGTATAAACCTAAACTCATCCTTACGGGGATATGGAGCCGCCGACAAGAACAATTGCCCAGGTAATGGTTCTAATCGTAATTTACTGTAATTCATTATCTATTCCCTATTAGATTAGTAGTTATAATATTATTATTTTTAAGATGTTGGCTGGGAAAGAGATTTAAAAAAATGAATTTGAAAAAGATAAGACTTTGAATTTTTAAATGCAATATAAGGTTATGATTAGTGCATTCAATCACTGGACAATAACTAGGGGAAATCATTGGGGATTTAAATGAGATTTAGAGGATATATATTAATATGCTACACATGATTTTTATTTTTTATATTGGAGATAATTCTTTTTAATAGATAACAAGGAGTACAAGTCATTGTTTAATGAGGTGTTGACATAACAAGTTGTCAGGTTCCATTTTTAAATGTAAGTTTTGGATTTTGTTTTGTAGAGGAGTTAATTTCCGTGAAAGTTCGTGGCATAAATGGTGATGTAAAGGAATTGGGTGTTGGGTTGTTGTTAGTCAGCCACTGGTTTCGTAAGCAGTGACTTCCATATTTATATATTAATATTTTTTCGCATTATAATTTATATGTTTATATATTAAGATAGGATTTTAAATATTCTATGTATTTAATTATTTAAATTTTATTAAAGTTATGCTAAGTGGAGGGGTTAATACTTACCCATAAGCTTGAACTTTAGGAAATTGATTATAAAAGTAGGTGAGGCTTTGGTCTAGTCTAGACATAGAAAAATATAAGTGTTTATAAACCCGTTAGCTTACTAATACTGTACACTTGATAGATTGAAATGTTTTGAAACATTGACGAAGGGAAAATCATTGTGTCTTAATTGCTTTATTTGGTTGTTCGGTGGAGGTAGGTTATGGTTTATGCTATTTGAAAGTTAACCCTTAATAGTGATTGATATGCATTGAATGATATTGTGAAGTTTTCTATGTACTTGATTGTGTTCCTTGGTTGTGTGCTTTATGATTGGTGTGAAATCATGAGATTGTGTAATTTATATTCTTGAACTCTCTTTATCGAATTGATGTCTTGAATAAAGAATGTTTGATCAAATAATATCAATGAGTTGAAAGTGTTGATAATAAATGAAAAGTAATGGCATAATTTGATCAGAGTGTCATGTTGCGACACGGTATAAATGGATCGGAGTGTCACGTTCAGACACGGTATTCTTATATCGGAGTGCCACATTTCGACACGGTATTCTTGGATCGGAGTTTTACGTTCCGACACGGTATTCTTGGATCGGAGTGTCATGTTGCGACATTGTATTTTTTTATTGGAGTGTAACGTTCCGACAAGATAATATTAAAGGAAAACGATTGAATTTACTTAAGGTACTTAATATCAAAGAACCCACTTTCCAAATGAGTGTGTCATGGAGGCATGAGTCCTCATGGTTGTGCTTGATATTGTGATTAATTATTTAGTGAATTGTTCATGTTGTTTATTGCTTACTATGTGTTAAGTGTCATAGTTAAGTTCATACTACTATTCATTGTATATTGAATTATATTTGAGTTTGCCGATGATACCTACTCAGTACATGTTGACTCATACTCCTGCTTGTATTTTCCTTTCTTTTCCTTTTATTGAGTGCAACAAGTGTACCGGCTAATTTGACTCGAACTCGGCTCTAGTACGTCTAGGCATATCAGGTTCAAAAGGGAGCTGTTCATTCAAGCTTGGGTTTGATTCTCTCGTTCATTACATGATGTCCTTAGTTTTTAGACACAAATTACTTTATTTCATTATTTTTGTGTCTTTGATACTATTAGAGTTGTAATTGGTGATTAGATGCCCTTGTTGTAATGACATTTAGGATTTGGGTATGGATTTTGTATTTTTACACTAATGAGATTTTAGTTACCCCATTATGGTTAGTATTTGTAAGTTCAGTGATAAATATAAGTTGGGGTTGAATTCATTTGTTTGTCCACCTAGGTACTTAAGTATGGGTGCCACTCACGACTCATTTTGGGTCGTGACAATCTTGGTATTAGAGCGTTAGGTTCGGTGATCTCATCATACAAGGACAAGTGTAGTAGAGTCTTACAGAAAGATATGGAGACACCTTTACTTTTCTTTCAGAGACTATAGGACTTCAGGAAAACATCATTCCTTCTTTCTTTCTTGCTACTTCTTTAATCCAATTGGTATCTATGTGTTACAAATTGGTATTTGATCTTCTTCAATCTATTTCACATATAGTTAGTACTAGAGTATTAGAAGTATAAATAGCAACATCATGAAATAAAAGAGTGTCCTTGAAAATAGTAATATTTTCATGTAGTAGGACTTGTAATGACTAGTGATCAACATGATTTTTTTGCTAAGTCCATAAAGTTGAAATCCTCATTCTTCATGGGTATTAATTCTGAAGATGTTTATGCTTTTATTGTAGATTATTTTGAGCTGCTTTATAAAATGAATTTAGTTGATAGACTTAGTGTTGAGTTTGTGACATACTAGTTTTGAGGATACACAAAATGTGATGATAGTCTCATGTTGAGTGTCAATTAGTAAAAGCATTACCTATGACTTACTGGAGCATTTTCTAGCTTCTTTATCCAATTATATACCCCAAACTTTGAAGGATAGGACGTGGGGGAGGGGGTTAAGTTAGATGACCTTGCCACTGTCTGAACATGCAAGAAGTTTCGTACGAGATGGATAGGTAATATACACCATTAATTTGAAAAAATACTGTTAGTAAAATTATAATAGCATATATGTATTGCATAGCTAATGATGAAAAAATGTTAAGGCAAGTGAGGTCATAATCTCTATGATGATTTCCTAGATTAGATATAAAAAAAGTCACAATACCACTACCACAATAACATGAATCTTTACTTGGTTAATGTTATGATGTGTTTTAGTTTTGTTATCGATTTGACCTAAGAATGAATTTAATAATATTTTGGATCTATTCAATTGATAGAAATGTGTTAGCTATTGATGTACGATCTTCTAAATGGTTAGATGTGTCCTAATGACGGATATAACAAACTTTTATGGTGTGATAATAGTGTTATGAAAAATGAATACATCCATTGTCAAATGTGAATACTAATTCTTTCAGGAGTTTTCAGTTATAGGACGTATTCAGATAATGTGATTTTGTGTTGCATTCTCCTTCGAGAAGCCAAATAGATTGTTACTATAGACGCTTGAGTTAAACTTTATTTTTAAGAAAGATTTTAGTGGTCAATATTTGATATGGTATTAATGCAATTAGGTAGTGAAGTGTATCTTGAGGATTCTAAAGGTGTAATGGCGATTTTATCTTAAGCTTCTACTAGAATTGACAAACTTATAGGAAAAGAAAGTCCCAGTGAGTATAGTTTGGGTGAAGTAAATTGAAGATTTTAGTAAGAAAGTGCATATAAAATTGGGTTAGTTCCTTGAATTTGATTGGTATACCTGAGTTTAAGGTGTTAGCTCGAGGAAAAAGGTTCACTTTGTGGTGATAACAAGGGCTAATTGAGAATGATGGAAAAATAAATTCATACGGGATTGTGATTGGGACAAAATTATATAATTAGGATTTGGTGGTTAAATAAGTTTTGTATAGTAATAAAGACTTGTGAATACCTAAGATTGTGATTTTCTACTATGTAGTGAGTAATGTGGTTGTATGACAAGTTTTAGGATATATTTTGTCACTGTTCGAATAGAATTTAAAGGAGATGGAACCATAATTAAAATAGGATAAAACTTGTGGGATGTGTAGCCTACTATAAATAAGTGAGAGCGCGAGTTTTTTTTTTGTGATTGTAAGGACTAAAAATGTATCTTAAAAGGGTTGAGAATTGGGTTCAGAAACGCGTGATTTTATCTATTTTGTTTTTGTTAAGGTAATAGCATAACAGGTTAATCAGATTAGTTAAAAGCTATTGAATAAGACTTGAAAAGGAGTGTACATACGTTTAACTCGATAGTGAAGATAAGTTCTTTTGTGGTTTTGAGTTCAATAATGAGTACTTTGAAATTTTAGTGAGGGATATGGTAAGATACATGAAGAGACGATCAATGATAATCTAATATATATGAATTCCTAAAAATATTCAAGGTATGAGCTAATATTGAAAGATAAGATAATTGAGTTATTTAGTTGAATTTACAATTCATTTTTTTTTCATTGTACGTCTACATTTATGGTGATATTTTTTGTTAAGATATAAATTGGTAAGATAAAAAATGGTTGATTGCATCGGTATTGAGCAAGTGAATGAACTTATGAATATTTTGGACCATAAAGTTTGTTACTTTTTGTTGTTTAAGTATCTAAGAAAGGATTTCCCTTGGAGTTTTTATTTAAAGTGTGAATTAAAAACGTCATAGGTTGTTGGTAAAAGGATGAGATCGATAAGCAATCTATATAAATAAGGTTCTTATATATTAAAGGGCCGATATATTTAGAATTTTGCACCATGGGATAAATTTGAGAAAACTGAAGGAATAAGACCTCTCGTATAAACCCTTGGGGTGTAGTTAAAGGTTGTTTTGATTTTCGCCTATGTGTTTAGATATGACTTTAAGATCGAACTAGTCAGGTACAGATAAACTCAGATTTTATCATCGACTTTATTAAAGATTTATTTTTTATTTGGGTTAAAAGCAGTGAGGTATAAAAAAATTTAGAGGTTTACGTGGGATTAGATTGCTCAAATTAAGATAGATAACTTCAGAATGATGCATAAGGTGATATACAATTCTACGTGGTTATTAAAAATATATATTCGGATTAATACTACTCTATTGATGGATTATATAGAATGTTATAGTGTGTTATATAGACATTTGATGGTGAATGGCGGTTATGATGTTATAGTATACAAAATATTTTGAGTGACCATGAATTTCCCTAAGTGTTTGCATAAGGTATGTCATGGTAGCTAAAGCCTGGTATGTGAAGTTTACTTTGGGTGTGATTTAATAGTTTTATATCGACAAAAAGGTACCATCAAATTCTAAATTAGTGTTATTATCCTTGTGTGGGACTCGTATTTGTCATGAAATGCTTAAATAGAAGAGATATAGCTATTGTTTGAATATGTATTTGATAAAAGTACGTTGATACTAATGATGGTTTAGAAGTAAAGTAGATGATCTATGTGGTTATGATGTTTTGTTAGTATTAACATTGTTGACTTCAGTGGATGTGGGGTTTGATAAGCCAAGTGTGTGTGCAATTATAACAGGGACTAAATTGGTGAATGTGGGTTGCTAGAAAATCAAAGAGATAGAGTCAGTTGAATGAAAATTTTTGAAATGGACACTATGAAAATAGTATTTAGAGTTATTCCACCTTAGTTATTTTCTATATGATATATTTAGTGTTGTCTCGGTGCACCACTTTGCTTATAAAAATTTATAGGAGAGCTAAAATGAAACTGTATAGTTGTTTGATAGACTTAAGATTTATCTCATCATCGGTATCATGTTTTTTCTATGTGTGATTGAATATAAGGACCATTAAGTTTGCTTATAATAGCAACTAATTTTGCATTTTGATAGGATTGTTAGGGTTTTATATGCTTGTGTGTATTGCTCGATGGATGGTTACTTAATCATTTTCTTCTTGAGGTTAGATAAGTTTAATTTTTGCTTGATGAGTACCTAATGTCTAAAGATATATATATATATATATATATATATATATATATATATA